GGCTGCGACGACGCCACCACCGCTGCATGCGCAGGCCTATTATATGGAGCTCGGATGTGTTTATGCGCGCGTATCGCTTGCGTAACGCGCCACGCTCACGCGTACACAATTTTCCTATTATCGACTAAATGTTGTTTGTTCGATCTCGCGTGCCTCAGCGCGAAAAAATGGCAAAAATTATTGTGCTCGGCGATATTTTCCGTCGTGAGCGTATCTCCGTGCCATGCCTGCGCGTGCAAAACTACTATATAAGCAGAGAGAGAGAGAGAGAGAGGCAGAGAGACAGAGAAGCAATTTCAAGAGTAACAGCGTCTTTTTTAACGTTTAACTTCTCTTATCTCTCTGCAAGCTGGTTACGCAGCTCACTTTGTGCAAAGAATAAGTAGAGTCGCTCGCGCGCAGTACAGCGCGCGCCCAGTGGCAATCCAGAGTCCCCGCTATATAAAGTATATAATAGTGATTTAATGCGACTGCTCCGCTGTTAAATTGCCCAAAAAGCAGGTAGAGACAGCCGCTCGAAATTTTACGTCGACTCTGCCGTAGTTTTCATTTTAAGCACTCGTGACTTTGAAACTATTTGTTTGCGCGAGCCTAGCTTGTGTTTCGAGCGAATAACTCTCCCGTGTTATTGCCACTTTATTCGGTAGAATATAAATCGACTTTTCTATAGATCATGGAACTCGAATTCCCGCTTACTCAAGAGTATTGAAGAGTCTTGAACCAGAACCATCGCAAGAATCAAAACTACAGTATCATAAGAGCGCACTTCTTAAATATTCGAAATGCAAAACGAAAATTAAATAAAAGAAATAACAAAATCATCGCTCAATGAGACTATATGCTTTGTAAAATTAGATATTGTTTTTTTTTTAATTATTAACAACACAGCGTCGAGCTTAGTCAGACGCGTGTTTTGAATTCTGATTAGCAGTTGAGCAGATAGAGTTGCGGGCTGACGTTTGCACGGACTACATGACTCTCGCTACCGTGGAAAGGATGAATTTTTTTTAACTAGATGGTAGTAGAGTCCAGTATGATACGAGGACACAGAAAATTGCATAGTTTCGAGACTTAATGAAATAGACTTTCTTGCATTTTCGATTCTCATAAATACGAAAGTAAAATACAACTCCTGGTGAAGTCAAAAGCCCAACAATGAAGTTTATTTTATTATTCACTTGGGCTGCAGAGAAATAAATTAAATAATTTTTAATTTTAGACGATTTGACAATACAAGAATAAAAGTTGAATTTGTATTTGTGCATAAAGTTCAGGGCGAAACAAGATAGATCGAGCATACGTTCGTAAAGAAACGCAGTTCTAGCTCCTTCTCGCGCTCGATGCTCCGTCATCGTCGTTCTTCAGTGTTAGTGCGCGGCGACTATAGGATGCTTGGAATTATTTCACTCGCGTGTGCAGCTGACTGAGAAATGCTGCATACGAGTGCGCGGGGACGATTACTGCAATTGCCTCGCGATCGATTCGCTGCGAGAATTCGATTACACGATTCGCGAGAAATTTTCTGCGCGACTCAAGACTCCTGGAGGAAATGGCAAAGGTCTCGCCACGTGCGTAAGAATGAGATAGTATAACACACGTATACGGTGATCAAAGTATATCCACAAGCGAGTAGCCAAGCGCGTCGAGGTCAAGTTAGCCTCGTTCACGACCAAGCGTTAAACAGTGCGTACATAGTCTTCCTCTTCTTCTTGAGTAATTATTTCTCTTTAGTGGCATTGCCAAAGGCAAGAAATATCCGACCGAGGAGTCGGCTCAAAAATGTTACGTACACACAGAGAGCATGACATCACGAGCCGTTAGACGAGAAGCTGATGCTGCTGTCTAGATTAAAGCGTAACACGTCGATCGAAGCGTCCAACCGAATTTGCCTAATGTATGCCTAACGAGTCAATGACTTCGAGAAGTCGAGGAGCATTAAAATTTATGATAGTTTTCGAAGCATCGACGAGGCAGCGTACACAGTACATACTGTTGCGCCTTACATAAACAGAGCCTTTCCTTTCCCCCCAAAGAGCAACGTCTATAAATCGGGCAACTTGTAGCAGAGGTGTTGGATGATTGTATCTCACCTTTAGCGACATCGATAATTGATTGGGTTTCGCGTGAAAGAGTACGAGACGGCTCGTCTATTTCTCGTACGGAAACACGGCCTAGAGCGGAGAGCTGTGAAAAAAAGCTATGAAACGATAAGGAGAAACGTAGGTAGCACGTAGAGTTGCTCGGTGTATCGCTCGCATAAGTTGCTATCGTTATGCAAGAACAAATCTGTCGGGTTAAGATGCGGCGCAGCTGCAGATATATTTTCATTGCTCGCAGGTAAGGAACACAAAGTAGCAAAGCAAGGAGTCGAGCGCGAACCGAATTCAGTGCAAATATTATTCATCGATGGGTACGAGCAGCGGAGAAGGGAGACGCGGTGCATCGCGTCCTCGCGAATAGCCTTGAAAGTCCTCCTGTGGGCTTCGTGGATGCACTTGGAAGTAGAGGCCTCGCGCGCGCTCTCGAGCGTAGCACAGCGGCGGGGGCTCTTGCCGCCCGTACCCGGTATTCGCTCGAATATATATATATCATACATTATGTGGCGCGCTGGCACGAGTCACGCGTATACGCAACGCAGTCCGGAGCAGCAGCAAAACGGAGCGAAACCAACGCTTGGCTGCGGCTGCTCGACGTATCCTGCACTATATAGCAGTAAGTTCGCTAAACGCGCTGTATACCTATGGTATAGTATACGCAGAAACGCACACGGCAAGGCCTTACGTAAGGACATTGCCACCGCCGACTGCTCCCGATACTATATACCATAGATACATCGTACATACACATGCGTATATGGAAGAGATACGTGTGTGTGTGCCACCGCCGACCGTACGCAGTATATTTACACTGAGGCGCGCGTTATACTTTCGCCCGTATTCTACTCTAATACGTACTGCTGCGCGCGTTACATTTATATAGGTACTGGTACCTATGTTACGTACAGGCTCACGCTTGGCTGACGCCTAGAATGCCTATTGTCGTGTGCACGCGCAGCCGACGCGACTCGCCGAGTGCAGCTGAATTTGTCGAGTCGAGCGACAGCTGCGCGCCTGGACATATGCGCCTCGTGCGCTCGCCGAGAGCTGCAGCAGCGGCTCTACTCCGCGTTCGTGTATACACGCGAGTATCGCTAAATTACAGCCTGACTCGCCGAGAGGGAGAGAGAGAGAGAGAGAAAAGGAGCAGAAGAGGAACGAGGAGCGGACGTTTAGGCGAAAGCGAGCCTGGAGGTTTCCGATGATTTTATTAATTGGATTTTTTTTAGCAGTGACTGTATATAGTAGACTCGCTTGGCTCGTTGCAGCGATAAGTGCCTCTGCCGAAGTTTGCTCCATAATCCGCCGCAAAGCCACGTGACTCCACAAATACACACAGACCTGCTGCTGCTGCTACTTCCACATGTCTAGAGTAGCTCGTCTCCATATATTCCGTGTCACAGGTTCACGAGTTTCGAAAATAGATCCGCCATATAAGAGACTGTGGTAAATTACTAATAGGTCGCGCGCCCGTCTCGTATAATGTAAGCGATGATCGAGTCTTCCGCCTCCATCTCGAGTAGCGTGTCAAGCAGAACGTCAACTATACATAAAGTTTCCGTCTTGCCTTCTCTTATCGCTATCGTCTCTTTACACATTGATTTTCCGTTTGTGTACAGCTACACGCAATTTGTGGAGTCGATCGGAGACGCGACTGTTTTTCATTTTTTATCCGTGCATCCAAGACAACCGACACACGAGACTCTTGGTAAATACAATAATCCAACTTTTCGACTCGTGCTCGTTCTCTTCAAAACTGAAAATGATGCTGTGGCTATGGATTTTTCCTCGCTGCTCGCAATGGTGGTTTGGCAAAATAAACTTTGACCAATTTTCCACGACCTCGAGTTTTTTTCCCTTTTAAACGAGAAACGAGCAATAAGACAACCTACGGATCTTCGTATGCGAGTCGCTGCCATAAATCGAAGTTGCAGCTGGAATCTGCAGTATTCATAGCTCGGCGAGCGCATTGCAAAACGTTCTTAGGCCGCGCGCGATGTTTTGCGTGTGGAAATCGAGAGCTCGATGATTATTGCTCCGTATAGTTAGTCGAGTTTGTTGGGGAAGTAGCTTGTGCTATGGTTTGAAGTATATGTATACATGGTCGGGCAACAGGAGGCGTCCGTGTATAAATACGCAGCTGCCAACTTTGGCACGACTCGGCAATCGCGCGCTGTTATCATCGTGAAATCCTTTTTACGAGGCCGACACGCACCGCTGCATCGACCTGAAATATATATTTATAAATGTGAGTGCGCAAGAGCTGCTGCTGCTGCTGTTGCCGCTGTTACTGCTACTGACTTGGAGCGCTAGAAAGTTTACAATTTTAGCGGCTCATTTGGCGCGAGGCGAGGAAAGCCATAGCCGAGTTTCGACGTCTTTTCTTTGATTTCCGCAACTCCGTGCGATTGGCAATTTTATTTACGTAAACAAATCCAGACATTTAAATCGCGCGAGCGTTTGGTCAACCGTTAAAAAAAAAAAGAAGAAGGACTGATCTCGGTGCTTGGCGAAATTTATAAGGCTGCTTCTAGCGGCTGCGTAGACTTGTAATATTTGGCCTAATGCACGGAATAATATATAGTTTTCGGAGCATCGGAGCATTAGCAGGCGGGCGCGGAGTCCCCTAAAAATCGTTCCTGGCTCATGGCATCCTGTTGAACAGGCGGACGCACCTATATGTGTGTGTGCTTTGTATGCGTATACGCGCGATCAAACAAAGCGTGTATGCAGTGTACATGTGTGTGTGTATGACACGCGAGATACAGAGTCGAGGGGCGAGAGGTAAAAGAGAGAGAGAGAGAGAGTCGGAGCCGAGGAGAGAGAAAAAGAGAGAAGCAAAGGAGCTGCTCAGTGCTCAGTTGTGGCTAGCTCTATAGAGTCCAAGACTGCGAGCAAACTCACCGCTTATGCGCCTCATGACTTGGGTATTTTGCTGGCAGCAGTCAGGAGCGTAACTCGAAGCGGCCAGTGAAACTCGACGAAGATCGCTGCACTTTTTTCGCTGCACTCGTCGTGAAACTCGCGCCTAATGGGCCTGGCCGGTACGAAATAACGAAAACAATCACAATCGCGCGCACCTATGAAACGCGCATACACGAATACGATATATATTCTATTCGAAAGAATTGGCTGCACACAAGCACCGAGCACGTTTCGCACTATCGTGTTTTACTTCATATTATACTATTATTATCATTGACCGAACACACTGAACTGGAAAACTGCACTTTTGACAAGCCACCACTACACACCGGCTTCAGTCACGATAACACGGCCCGATACGGCGGACGGAGCTGGCTGTGGCGGCGAGCTGCCGCGCGCCATGTCTTCCCCGAGTCGGAGTCGGCCTCGACGCACCGTACTCCGCGTACACGCACTCGACTCGGCGGGCAGAAATCGCGCGCGCGGGGCCTGCTGCTCCGCTGCAGTTATACAGCACCTCGATGTGTATTATATATTCTGCTCTTGACGCACGACTCACTGCTCCTACTCGCTCGCTCGCCTCTCTCTCTCTCCTTCTCCGTTTACGCACACGCACCAGAGCGACCGCAGATCGATCGCATACGCACTAGTTGATCACTGATAATCACTCGTTGACACCTACAACCGATCGCGACGCGACCAACGCACCGTTAAAAGCACACGTCCGCTGCACAGGACAAAAGGTAAACAATAGCGATTGTTTACACCGATGCAGAATGAATGAGGCAAGACTGGGACTGAGACCGAGACGCGAGTGAGAGGCGCTGCTGACAACAACACGCGAAAAACACCGTAGATACACAAGTCTCCCGACGTCTTGCCAACGCAGACGCCGAGCGCGATCTCTGGCGCTTTGCGAATTGCTCCGTTTCTGCGGTGGCGGCCGGTGGGCGAGACTAGCGCCGCCTCGCGGAGCCGAGGCAACGATCGACGCGCCAGCCGAGCCCCGTGCGCGGAAAAAGCAGGTAACTCTCCGCAGCTCACCGACACCATATACGCTAGACACACATATATATACGCGTATCTTTGGCTCTCGCGAGATCGGATCATCGGACTCTCTCCCTCGCGCGAATTCCCCCGCCGTCTCCCCACCCCACCCCGCGCGTGCCATCGAGCTTCGCTTCTCGCCTGCTCAGAGGTCGCTCGAACTTGCGCGCTATCTCGATTCGCGCGAGACTCTGTTTACAAAGACTCGTCGTATGGTACACCTACATATCCTATATATCGAGCGCAGCGTACGCTGCCGGCTCGCAGCTCGCCGAGTAATGCATCAGCCCTGCTCCGACTTGATAAAGCCGTTTTCCACTAGCGAGTCGCAAGTTCAATACTGATCGCTTCAATTTGCAATATCAATTTCAATTAATTCTAAAGAACGAGATTATGTGGGTGAACATTTTCGAGCTGCAAAATTATAGATAAAACTTTTCGAATTACAGCTGCATCGCGATCTCAATACGATTCCTATTGTCTAGGCGATTTTCACGTGTCCGCCAACGCCCGCGTAATCTTTCACATTTCTACTGAATAGCGTCGAATTAAGAGCCCTTCTCGAGGCTCGAGTCATTTTAATCCACGAAATATCCTAGACGCCGGGAATCAAACTTTTGCGAATAGAGTTTGGGACGACGCGGTAAAGCCATGGAAAAGCAATAATATATGTAGCAATCGACGAGGCGCGTACGATTCAATTTGAAAAATTTCGAGCGTCGAAGGGACTTTATAACGCATTCGTGGCACAAGAAGAATTTAATTTCGTCACGACGATGCATTATGTCTTTGTTGAAAGTATAATAATATGGCGAGTCAATTGCAGACTTCCCGGGAGCTCTGAGCTTGCGAAAAAGACTATAAGATAAAGGCCCGAGCGAAGAATGAAAGGTCGTACAAAAACTTTTTACGAGGGGAGATGTCTCGATAAAGTCTCTTCCTCTCTCTCTCTCTCCTCTTGTGTTCGCTTCGGAAAATATCATCTTTTTTACAGAAAATTCTCTAAAACACTGCCGTCTCAAGCTGACTCGAGTCTACTCGGCTACTCCACAAGATATGTTAGCCACTAGTGCTCTTTTGCAAGTTCGGGCAACACACGAAAATCTGTGCAATTTTCAGAACCGAAGTAGATTTTAGAATCGTAGACCTGCCTAGCGACATCGGAAGCATATACCTACTCGAGCGATCAACTCAATGATCGAGTCATTATTTATTTGCTCGCAATTATTTCGCGATCGTTCGTCCGTGCGTGACGCGAAAAGCGCTCGCCTCGTCGCGCAGTGTGAAAATCTTCCTCGCATCGTGTGTTATTTATACTGCACGCGCGCAAAGTCTTATTCTAGCAGTGAGCGTGAATGGTCAACGAAGTGTCCGTGGCTGTTGCTCGGCGCACCTTCGCTTCGAGGAGAGCGACGCACTTTGTCCGCGACGACATAAGCGACAAAATTGCTGTACACGCAACGCCCTAAAAGACCAGTTGTTCGCACCCACAGACACTCGAAAATGTCTACAGCCGCCTCGTCCATCGTAGTAGCGGCCGATGGGAAAAAAGTCACTTTGATTGGCTTCGTGGCAGACATCCAACTCGGACGCGAAGTTGATTTAGCCGAGGCCTCGATGATTTTGGTATCAGTCGTATGCGCCGATGGCGAGATTTCGAGCGAGTGCGCAAAATCGCAGGTCCGCGTTGTAACGCGCAGTCAGTTTTACATTTATGAAATGGAACATTTTAGGGCTAAACGCGCGGCAGCGGCTGCAGGCGACGATGCCCCAGCCCCGCGTCTTTTTTTCCATTCTAGTGCCACGCAGCGGCTCTACTACACGCACGCTTTATTAAACTTTCAAACGCCATCTGTTTGATGGCAAAAAAATGAATAGGTACGTGCCACATACACGGGCCCCCACGCAACGCCGATCGGATCGCGACGCGCCGCGCGTGATGCTGAGTTTTTGATTCGCGCGGATATACCCCTCTGGTTTTCTCTTTTTGCACCCCTCTCGTATTGACTCGAATGCGTGTATGGTCTTTCATGACTTATTCGCGATTCTGGATACCTCGTTCGAACGTTCACTTCTGTTGCATTCGCTACTTCAGTTACATTGTTTCATTACTGAATGTATGAATTGAACACATTCACCCCCAATATTTGAGTCTCTATTTATCATTAATCGAACACATGAATCGCTACAAGAACGATCCCCAAAGATTTTCCCTAAAGTGCCTCAAAACAAAGTAGCATAAATTATTACACTTATATTACCGCTCATGAGATTTATTTTTATTTTAGTTCACTATTATATCGATAGTAGGTTGCGTTTGTAGAGCACAGTTAATTAAATTCATAATGCAACCAAGTGGATGCTCTCGAAACGTCAGTACAGCGTCGACTATACGGAGTATCGCACGTCTGAACAAACTGAACACGAATGCAGCTTGTGCTGCATCATTGACGAGCCTCGAGCGCTGTACCAATAACACGAAAAACTAATCGAACACGGATTGTGTATTTATAAAAGTGTGCGTGGATCTGGGCGTGTCGGTAAGGATTTCTATTCGTGCAATACGTTTCAAATTTCAAATTTTTCGCACTAGAATTTCTCATTTTAAAGTAGAAAAATGATGTCTTATTTTTATTTTACGTAAAAATAGGAAAATCACCTTTCTTGGAGGAAGCTCTTTGCCTATGTATCGACAGCTTTTTCCCCTTTACATCCCTATCATCTGCCATTTTCCACTATTGTAGTGGCGTCTACTGCCTTTTCATTTTTCAACATTTCACATTTCTCTGCGACGAAGAGGACAGGATCTTTTTTTACGTACTACGCTGAATCGTCTAAATTTTTATTGAATCCATAAGAGAGCCAGGGCCGAGTTGCCCTATTCTCAAAGCGAACGAGTACGTACTTGTTTCACTTGAAATTCTGTCCTGTGTACAAAGCCACATATATTGCGTCTTTTTCATGCAAGCCGTACTCGGCAACTGGCTCGATTTTTGTCGACTTTGGATTTTATTAGCTCGTTCTGCTCGATAGTCGATATTTTTGCACGGTGGCTTTTTAGCATTTCGGAAAGGCTTTGCCGAGACGTCGCGTACACGCGCGCGAGACTCGGCCCGAAGCGGTACTATACACTTTCATCTTTGACACCTTGGCTGGCGAGCGCACTGCACGCCAACGTCCGAGTCTCGCAACGTCGGCACGTATCGGTTAACGATCGACGTGCGCCGAACTTTGCTCCCTCGGCTCGAGCTGTATAAGACGCGACAATCGCGCTCCTGGCGTTTCGCGCGAATTCCGAGGATAATCGTTTTTGCCCGTGCGAATATGGATATATAGTCGAGAAGCGAGGGAGAGGTAAGAGAACTCGTGCAAGATTAAAAGAACGAACGGCCGCTATAATACACGCGCAGGCTTTTAACGACCTCTCAAAAAAAAACCCCTTGCTCGCTAAAGCGCGCCCCGAGCCAGCCTCTCCGTGTTCGACTCGAACTAATTTGAAAGAAGACCGAGCTGTTTCTTCGAGAAACATGTTGCAATATATATAGGAGCTTTCGGTGTGCGCTGCAGCCAGGGTACTTTAGAGGTCGCGATAATTACCGAAAATTCAATTGAATTTGGCAGCGAATGTGACAAAGTTCAATGTCAGGCTGCTTAATGACGGGGTTCGAGGGGGGCTACGCGAGTGGCAACAGCTGCGGATATCGACAAAAAGCCTCTCTACTCGACAGCAGCAGCAGCAGAGAGAAGTGGCCGAGTCACAGGGCTCACAAGTGTATAGGGGTTAACGAGCGCGAGCCAAGTGTTTATACCCGGGCTCTGTCGCGCGAGGGATTCATATAAATTCCTCGGGCCCTCGCACTTCTCGCGCAAACCTATATTACACGGCTGCTACCGAGGCACATGCTGTTGTCCGTGTATAATACCCATGCCGTACATGTATAATTCGCATCTATCACGAGTTCAGTTGCGGCAGAAAGAGCCGTTTCTGCGACGAACCGCTGAAATAATTCACGACTCGTCGCTGCGAGAGCTCCTGCGAGTGTGTTTCCGTGTACATATGATACGTATCACGCTCTTATACGTACGGCTCGTTTCCGAGCGTCATCGAGTCCAGAGGTGACGAGTGGGCTTTGCCGCGATGCGGTGTACAAGCATGTGGCTCTGTTATTTTTTAAAGCCAACGGCGGTGACTGGTGCGGATAGCTGACTCGACCTTTTTAGTCATTTCATCTACGCGTAATGCGAGTCGTATGTAGGAAAGAAACCATTTTAATTGTTTCTTAAAGCCCGACGAGCGGTTTTTTTCTTCGCAAGTAGGCGCAATTAAATCACATTAAATGTCTCCAGTAGACGCATGAGTTACTATTTTTTTTTACTGCCCGGCGACACTGGCAGTGGAAAAGTGATGATGATGAATGTGCGATTTATGGACATCGTATAGAAAGTTTTTTCATAAATCAATTTTTGGCTATTGGTCAGTACTCTTTTTGACAATGTGCAATGGATGTGAAAGTGATTGTGTTTACATTTCACATGATATAAAACTTTAAAGTGATATACACCTATTTAGTGGTTTATTAAAATTCGACGATTACTTAATTATAAATATGATTCGTTTGTATTTTTGCAAATGTTGATGGAATCGAATAAAATTGAAAAGCTTCAGTCCACTATGAGTTACAGAATCATGTATAGTCTGCGGAGAGGCGCTGTTATTTATGCGAGCAGACTACTCGATTCTATTAGCATTCAAGTTCAAACGAATTGATTAATAAGCCGCGGCAGCATAATTTTTTGTACTTCCCTATAGTTCACGCGGCAGATCCTTTCCTCTTTAATTAATT